ACCTGGGTGGCTCAGTCGGTTGAGCATCCAACTTCGGCTCAGGTCATGATCTCGTGGTTCATGAGTTCAAGCCCCACATTGGGCTCACTGCTGTCAGTCTGTCAGCACATAGCCTGCTTCAGATCCTCTGTCCCCCTCTCCCTACCCCTACCCTGCTTGCAGTCTCCCAAAAAATAAATATTAAAAAAAAAAACTGGTAAAGGCAAAGGGAGGTTTACAGTGAAACTGCTCACTTACCTTGATCCTTCACCCCTTAGAACTAGTGACATGAAATATTCAACTGTCCTTTCCTAACACAAACTCTGCACTGATGCCCGAGGGACTTCTCTGGGTGGAGAGGTAATATTTCTTATCAACAGAAAAATAGAAGTCTTTTCCTTCCCTCAAAATGGGACTAGAAATACAATCTTCAGTGTCAGAAAATCTCAAGCCTACAGGGGACCCAGGCTGCTATTTGATTTATTATTCTTATTTACTGCTTTATTTAACCCCTTCCCAAACATCCTACCCAGTGTATGAAAGAGGTAAAAAGGGTGCTGCTCGATCTATCCCATGAGACTGCTGAGGGCAGTGGGGCTCTGAGGAATGCAGTAGGAAACTATGATTTTGGTCCAATGCTCTCTTTTGACAGAGTGAGTATGAGGGGCCACAGCAATCCAGTGCGGTGCCCCAGGTCACCCAGCGGTTAGTGCACAGGCTGAAGTTTGAGCCTAGGACTCCTGACTTCCAGTCTGAGCTTTTCCTGTGGTTGACTGTCTTGCCTATGCAATGGGGTAAACACACTTCACAGGTGGCTGGAATCAGAGGTTGAGCAACTGGACTCTTAAACTGAGCAGCCCTGGGCTTGACCTTGTGTGACCTTACAAAAGCTACTTAACTTCTCTAAGGTCTTCTAATCCATAAAGTGGAGATGACAATGGCACATGCCTCATCAGACTGCTGTGAAGATTAAGAGATTCTGGGTATCATAGTAACCAGACAGTTGGCAGATAGAAACCACTCTACAAAAGTGAACTGTACTTACTATTTATGTCTATGAGAATCATCCCCTTCTTTTCCTCACGTAAAAATTAAGCCCTTTTATAGATAACCATTCCAGCAATGAGTCCTTTATTACCTCAAATGAAAAGGGCTCACTATAGACCTGTTCTTTGGAAATTCACTACAAGTTTACACATTGATGATCCAGAACCTTACCAACCAGGGCTCTCATTGATTTGACTTTTTATTGAGGAGAAAGAACCAAAGTAAAATCAAATTAAGAATTCAAGCACAAAAAGGAGGCAGATTCTGCTTTTCTATACCTTTAGACCTATAATACTCTACAAAGAGAATTCCTATTTACAACGAGTCTTGGTCATTATGCTCTCCCTAGTCATCAAATAAAGTTTCAGCTATGATTTAACACAGTAAAGAAAAGTGACACATTTCAGAAGTATTAAAAAAAACCCTGAAAGGTATTTTTAGTTAATTGTTAGTTAACAAAACAAAAACAAAAAATACAAATACACTAGACCCTTGAACAACATGGGTTTGAATTGGCCAAGTCAACTTACACACGGGGTTTTTTTTGTTTTTGTTTTTTTTTTTTTTGAGAGAGAGAGAGAGAGAGAGAGCGCGCGCACGCGCGCATGCAAGTGGGTGAGACGGGCAGAGGGAGAAAGAGAAACTTAAGCATGCTCCATGTCCAATGAGGAGCCCAACGTGGGACTCAATCCCATGTGATCCCAGAATTACAACTTGAGCTGAAATCAAGAATTGGTCACTCAACCCACTGAGCCACCCAGGCTCCCCTACGCGGTTTTTGTTTTGTTTTGTTTTTACAAATACAGTACAGTACTGTAAATGTATTTTCTCTTCCTTATGGTCTTCTTAATAAGATTTTCCTTTCTCTAGCTTACTTTATTGTAAGAATACAGTATTAAGCATATATAACATACAAAATATGAGTTACTCGACTATATTATCAGGAAAGCTTCCACTAGGCTATTACTAGTTAAGTTCTGGGGGGGTCAAAAGGGATTTTGACTACACAGGAAGGTAGCACCCCTGACCCTCATGATGTTCAAGGGTTGACTCTATTCACCACTTCAAGCATTCTGCTTAACTGAGAGGCTTTACACACAGGAAATAATTTAAGTTTTGTTCTACTCCAGGGCAGTGTAACACCTGTTTGGAAAATGTCTGAAACCAAACTGCCAAGATCCAAATGATTTCCATTTAAAGTTATTATGTAGGGGCTATTATGTATCAGTTGGTTAAGCATATAACTTTGGCTCAGGTCATGATCTCACAGTTCGTGAGTTCAAGCCCCACGTCAGGCTCTGTGCTGACAGCTCAGAGCCTGGATCCTGCTTCAGATTCTGTGTCTCCCTCTCTCTCTGCCACTCCCCTGCTTGCTCGTGCTCTCTCTCTCTCAAAAATAAATAAACATTAAAAAAAATTTAAAGCTATTATGTAAAAGGGAATCCTACACTAAACATTCTACCTGAACTTGCCTGGAAAGGTCATTAAAACAACTGGCCAGTTTCCTGCCAACAATTCTGACCAGCGTTTTATCACAAGGGTCAAAATACCTTTAAAGTAGAATTGCCTACTTTTTTTTTATTTGAAAAGATAAATCGTTAGCCAGATTTTTATTTCCTGAGAACTGTGGTTTGAATAGCACATCCTGGAGTTATGACCAGACTTTAGAAAGGCTGTAACACAATATATGTAAAGGGACTAACAGGTCTGGACTGTAGCTGGGGATCAATAAACAGAAAATGTTTTAGGATGTTAAAATGTGGCTCCTGTCTGAATTTCAGCCCAGGATGCCCAAAGGTCTTCAACAAATAATGGCACCGATTCCCACATCCTGAAGTAAAAGTTCTAGATCACTTACTTGGGGCAGGCCCACAAAGTGGCCAAACAGCTACCACAGGGTCATAGAAAAATCAGAGTTGAGGTGGAAGAAGCCAAGGTAAAATATCTGTTTAAACCTATTCTCTCACATTCTAAACCCAGCGGACAAGGGGAACCACAGCCCACTCCAATTCCCTCCTTCAGCATCTGGGGACATGAACCAGTGCATCCTGCCCTTATAGGGTTTTAACCACCCCTCCCAAAGGTCAGTTCTGGGAGAAAGGGCCACTTAATATCTGTTCCACCCGCCACAAGGAGGTGGGAATTTTGGAATGAGATGACATCTGCAATAGAAGTGCTAGAGGGCAAACACAGGAGGACACAGGAGGATTACCACAGCGGAGTTATGTCCACTGTTGTTTCAGTGACCTTTACCTTAAATGTATATGATGCTCCAGGTGTTTTAGCTAATAACAGCACTACAGGGTCACAATTAACAAATAAAATTGGAGATCCAGGCTTAATATTTTTATTCTGATGGGGTGTTCAGTCAAACATGTTTGGCCTGCGTGGCCTAAAGTGAGCAGGAAGACCCCAGTGGTCTTTAGACAGCACCCATGGGCATGTGGTCTTTGCTTTCATGCTGCTTTTCTACCAAGTAAAGAAAAATTCAATTAGCAGAGCCTGACAGCCCAGAATCTGGATACCGGGGGAGAAAACAGGGGCACTGCCAGTTTTGGATAGAAAATTATAATGATCAAAAGGGCTTCCCTAAGAGAAAGAAGCACAGCAGAGAGCTATTTCTTCCGGGAGAAGATAAGGAGAGTGAGAGAGTCCTCCAGACAGTGAGAGGGACTTGGATGATCATAAAAGCTACTGACACAAAGGCTAATGTCAAAACTGAAAATGGGGGTTCCAATTCAGGATGGTGACATAGGAGGGTCCTGCACCCCTCCCCTCCCATGGACACACTCAATATGCAGCTATATATGGAACAATTCCCTTTAAAAAAAAATCCAAAAACCAGCTGAACAACTATGCAATGGGTGAATGAGAAAAACTCACACAGAAGGAGGTTGGAGAGGGTGAGACACAATTTCACCATAAACCCATCCCCTGTACAGCAATCCATAACTCCGAGGGAACTCACAACTGTCAGCTTCTCCTTGAGGAACAAAAGGTTTGGATTCCACACCTGGGGCCCCAACTTTTAAGACTTTCACCAGAGGGACGGGCCCCCAGACACCTAGCTCTGAAAGTCAATGGGGATTGCAAACATGAGTCCCACAAAGCTTTAGAGAACTAAGGGTCAGCTTAAATTAATTAATTAATTTTTCTGAGAGAGATAGCAAGTGGGGAAGGGGGAGAGAGAGAGAAAGGGAGACAGAGAATCCCAAGCAGGTTCCATGCTGTCAGTGCAGAGCCCAATGCAATTGCATGTTTTCCAAGTTGCTGCATAGTTATTCCTAAACCAACTTATTTGAAAGATGACAATTCATTATACTGAACTATCCATTTTCATTCACTGCACTAAACTGCAATTAAAAATTTTTTTTGAATTTATTTTGAGAGAGAGAAAGAGAGGGAGGGGCAGAGGAGGAGAGAGAGAAAATCCCAAGTAGGCTCTGTGCTGTCAGTGCAGAGCCCAAAGAGGGGCTTAAACTCACAAACCGTGAGATCACAACCTGAACCGTAAAAAAGAGTCAGATGCTTAACCAACTGAGCCACCCAGGGGTCCCAGCACAGTTTTTGTTTGTTCTGTTTTTTTTTTATGTTTATTCATTTTGAGAGAGACAGCGAGCACACAAGTGGGAGAGGGGCAGAGAGAGGGAGAGAATGAATCCCAAGTGGGCTCCATGCCATCAGTGCAGAGCAAGATGCCGGGATCCATCTCATAGAGATCGTGACCTGAGCCAAAATGAAGATTTGGACACACTGAATGGACTGAGCCCCCCAGGACAGTTATACACAGGCTTGCAGGGTGCACAATGGCATTCCCCCACAGCCCAGCAAAAAGGTTAAAGCAAAACAAAACAAAAACACAAAGAATGATGAAAATGGGCTCCTCAGCAGGACAAACAGAAATCACTAGGGAGAAATGGTCCGGAAGCGTGATCTACATGCTGGTCTAAGGCGTGGTTAAAAAGGACAATAAGGTCTTCCATAAGGCAAGTAACCAAACCACTATTGCTCAGGAAACAGATCTTTTCTCCGCAAAAATCACCCTAAATCTAAACAATTAAACACAAGAGAAGGCTTGCAGCATTTCCTAATAAACCTCAGGGGAGAGTTTCTCTGATACATGCAAGTAACTTCCTGGAATATGACCCAAACTTTACTTCAACAAAACAGAAAAGAAAAAGAATTAGATGAAGGTTCTCAGGGACCCCAAAGCCAATCCAAGTGATCACTGAACTGTCCCAAACCGATAGTCTGAAGAAACATGAGGGGCAGCCTTGAGTGAGGGCAGCTCTAAGATTTCTTTTTAAAAGGCTTCACAGTGGTAAGCTGGTGGGGGCAGGGACGCATTTGCACAGCATTTTGCATAAAACTGAGCCAAAGTCAATCATTCACACAGAAGCTCCCAAGGCCGATGCTGCTGCTGAAAGTCCCCTAACCTCCCACCTTAGTGCCTTTACTGCCCAGAGCTAGAACACAGACTAGTCTAGAAAACCCCAGTCTTATCATCACTGTGAGGCTCCTTCATAAGGATTAAGGGCTTCTTTGTTAATTAGGACTGTATTTCAATGTCCGTTGTCAACTGAAAGTGTGTTAGTCTAAGTGTCAGCACCTGGAACTTATTACTTCTGTAAGTACCATTAACAGTATGAGCTGCAGGCAGGTAGCACAGTCAGCATTTCCAAAATTCTAAAGGAGCAGAAAAAGAAAAGGGCCTCAATACGACTTATGACAGCGAAGGGACGTGCTCCCACACTAGCCCTGCTTCCAGCTCCGGGCAGTTGTGGCTTCTGCCAGGACACAGACAAGCTGGACAGAGGCAGGGGGCACCTACCCATACCTACCTTTCCTCCCGGCCTCAGGGGTTTGGGAAGGCTTTTCTGGCCGAGCAGCAGACAGGGCCGAGGAACCAAGTTTCCTCTCTGTTTCTACAACTTCCTCCTCATCCCTCTTGTGTGCCTTCCTTTTCTCTGGGGGTGGCGGTGACCGCAGCCAGAGGTCCCTGCTCTCCTGACCCTCCTTGCATGGCTCGCCAGGCTCCGGGTCTGGCTTCCCTGCCCGGCGGGCCAGCAGCTCTACCAGGTAGGGCCTGCTCAGTTTGGAGAGTGGGGAGGAGGGGGGAGTCTGACCGGCAGGTTTGGGAGCCAGGGCTGGCTTCTGCACCAATGGCATTTTGTTTGCCACCTTGTCGTGCTCTGCAACTGGCTGAGGCCCCAGCTGGGCTGCAGGAGAAGAGTGTACTCTTTCAGCAGAGTCCTTCCAGGTGGACAGGGCTTGCTTCCTCTCAGGGGTTAGGGACAGGCCATGCTTGAGGGCCACACCCTCTGTCTCTTTCTCTCCTTTTGTACTTCCTGGTACAGGTGGCCCACCATCAGCACTGTCCCCGGTGCTGCTGTGCCTTTTCTTCTTCTTTTGTTCTGTCTGTTGGTCACAGTGGAAGCGCAAGGAGTAGTTGGTCCTTCTCAATTTTATCCCAAACGGTGAGGCTTTTTCCTCTTGACCAGGCGTTGCGGGGTCTGCCTTTCCTATACCACTGATGGTCTCACTGTCCAAAATGATCATGGGCTCTGCATGGGCCACTGCTTTCTGTAGAGGGTAAGGAGGGCTTGGAACAAGGAAAGATGGGAGGTCTTTGGCAAATTTGCATCCCTCTGTGCTGTCTGCTGGCTCCAGTTTCTCTGTACCCTTTGGGTGCTCATAAGTAGCCAGGGGCTGGGGAGCTGACCCATCATTGGGTCCCAGCACAGGTCTTTTTCTAATGCTCTCTGCTTCTGTGTTAGGTTTGGAGGTCTCGGTGCCACCATCTGAGAATTTCTGCCAAGCAGGCATAATAGAGAATTTTGCATTTACTGGGGGGATCCTCCGGAGGTTCCCGCGGGAATCACATCGGCCCCTGGGAGTGTGCTCTTCACCTGGTCGAGACTGGTCTCTATCAACGCGCTGCTCACTCTCTGTGTTCTTCAGAATTCTGGACCGAATGGAAGCCCATTCGGCTAGTGCAGCCACACTGCTCGGAGACTCCTGGGGGGGCCTGGCCTTCCCGCTCCCTGACCGGGGGTCGACAGATGCTCGGGGTGGGTTCTCCAGGACAGGGACATCCACGTGCTTCTTTTCTTCTGACAAGCCCAGGAGAGACTTGCATGCTGTGTCCTTGATCTGGCTCAGGTTGACGGCCGGGCCGCAGAGCTGTGCTCCCGTGACCAGAATGGCTGTGTGGGGGACACTCAGGGAGGAGGGCAAGGCATGGGAGGCTGGGCTGGCTCTGGGGGTCTTCGGCTCCTGGGGGGCAGAGGCAAGTCCGGCGTCCTTCAGGGGCATCACTGGGCTCAGATTGACTTTGGGGAAGAGAATCTGCTTCCCTCCGGATGACACCTGGAAAGTATAGGGCCTGGGCGTGGTCTGCCTCTCATCCACTTCCTGCCACCGAAGTTCCTCCACCTTCCTGTCTTTTTCTGGAGCGGCAGCTTCCTTCTTTTCCCCGGCAGCCAGCATCTCTTCTACCTTCGCCTCTTGTTTCCGGGGAGGCTGCGTGTTAGCTTCTTGTCTCTTTTCCTGACGTGCACGACGACTATGCCCGGGAAAATCCCCGCCTTGTGCCTGCTGCTCTCCGCATGGCTCAGCCTCCTGGCTCTGCTTCTCGCAAATCCTTGACTCCTCAGAGTGTTCTCTTTGCTTCTCGGGTTGCAGGTGCTCTCGTTTGCCTGATTTCCCTGCAAAGTCCACCTGAACTGGGCTCCTTGAGCTCCTTTCCACGTCCAGTGGCTGCCACCTCTCCTCTTGCACACTCGCTGCTTCTCGACCTTCCACTTCCTGCTGCCTCTGCGCCTCCACTTCCTCCCGCTTTCCCTGTTCTGCCCTTCTCTCTGCTGCTGCCTCTTCCTCCCATCGCCGCTCCTCCTGCAGGTGAAGCTTGTCCTCTCGTTGCCGCTGCTCCTCCTCCTGCTGCCTCTTCTCCTCTCTTTCTCGGTGCTCCTCCTCTTCCCGCCCCCGCTGCTGCTGCTCCTCCAGCCGCCTCTGCTCCTCCTCCAGACTCTGCTGTTCCTCCTGCAGCCGCAGCTCCTCCTCCCTTTGCCGCTGCTGCTCCTCCTCCTCCCTTTGTTGCTGCTCTTCAGCCTCCAACTGCTTCTGTTCCTCCAGCTCCTTCAACTCCCTTTCCTCTTGTTCTTCCTGCTGCTTGTCGGCCTCCTGCCCGCTCCACACCGCCTGCTCTTCCTGCTGTGTGCGTGGCGGCTGCTCTTGGGCCTCCAGGTGCCTTCCTTCCTCTTGTTCTCTCCGCTCTTGGCCTTGGACACCTTGCCCTTCCAGTCTCTGCCTCTCCTCTTGGTGCTGCCTCTTTTCTGCCTCCAGCTGTAGTTCTGCCTCGTCTCCCTCCTCGTCCTCGCCTACCTCCTCCAAGAGCTCTTGCCTTCTGTTCTCTTCCCAAAGCCTCCTCTCCAGGGCCTGGAGTCTCTGCTCTTCCAGACGTCTCCTCTCGGCTGCTTCAGCCTTTTGCCGTTTGCACTTGGCCTCAAGTTCTAGCCAGTATTCTTCTTGGCATCTCTTCTCTTCTTCAGAGTCCAGCAGCTCTGGCTCCTCCTCATGCCAAATTGGTTTGCCCTCTCCAGGGTGTCCGTTCTGGTCCAGGGACAGCTGACCCGGAAGGCTACCTTGTTCATGCAGTCGATCCTAACATTGGTAAGGACAAAATAATTAGCCTTTTCCTTTTGCACAGGCAACCATTACCCACCCTATTCACAATGTCGGTGACCCTCTTAATCTCAAGAGAAAGTGCAGTTGTTCCTAAGTATAGAGATAGGTACACCCAGGCCAGCACAGCAAGAGTAAATTGTGAGAGTGGAGGAAAACATATCACCTTCATGTTTACTCCACGGCCCTTTTATTGGTCATTCTCAAATGCCTTTTGCTTAATACAAATGAATAAAAAGAGAAAAACCAATAGCCCAGCATTAGAAAGATGAGAAAAAATGAGAGCTGCACTTCATCGACGTCCCCTGAAATTTGTGACTTCAAAGTCCACACCAGTCAAACTGAAGAACCTTTGGCAGAGCCACGGTAGGAGAGCTGGCAAAGCAAATGCAAGGTGTCTAGAGCCCCTCAAAAGGCAGCCCCTCAACTCTGAGGCTCATCTGCCCCAGGCAGGCACCAAGTTAGAAAGAGCCAGTAGATGGGCCTGCTTCCCCCTGTTCATTGCAACACACCAGGTCCCTGATGGGAGACACTTAGTTGCTTCTACGGGTCCCTCACACCACCACCAACCCCCCGCCCCCTCCCCCCCCCCCCCCCCCCCCCCGCGACCCCCCCCCCCCCCCCCCCCCGCCCACGGCGGGGGGGGGGGGGGGGGTCCTGGAATGGCAGCACTTGCTGGGGCCTGCACCTTGCCAGGCCTGGACTGGCCCAGGGGCTGCTGTGAACAGAGGCACTGGGACAGAGAGATGAGCACTGCTTTTGTCATCAAAAAACAGGACGTTGACTATTTGTTCTGCCAATGATTTTTGCATTAACTCAAAACAGTCATTTAACCTTTCAGGGACTGATTTTCCTACTCTGAATAATATGGGGGGGGGTCAGATAAGATGAGGGGGGTTGACAAAACATAGCCAGGAGGCCCAATCCTGCCCACAGCCTGTTTTGGTAAATAAAGTTTTGTCAGCACACAGCCACACCCCTTGTCCATGGTCTTTAGTGCTTTTGTGCTACAAAGGAAGAACAGAACAAAGGAGGGTATCTAGGTTGGACCTTATGGCCACAAAGCCTAAAATAAAGCATGGTTTGCTGAGCCCTGGACTAGCTCATCTCTATACTAAGGACTCTATAAGACACTTGCAAACGTCCCTCAGCCTCTACCTGAGACCCTCTGAAGTAGGGAAAATGTCTTTTTCATCTTTTCAGTTCCCTTTCTGCCCAAGCAGCAAATCTCATTTAGCAAGTGCTCAGTAAATATTTTTTGGAGGAATGAAGGAACAAGAAAGTATAACATCTATGCCTAGGGCATGAAATTGCTACCTGCAAAAATGTTTTAGCACAATCATTCCAAAGCCACAGAACACAGAGTTGACTGGCAAAAAAAGGATGGGCAGAACTGTGCCCCCCTGGGGGAAAGGGAAGGTCCTCACGGCACGACTGCAGCGCTGTAATGCAGATGGCACGCACTTAGGAGCCACCACCTCAGACAAACTGTACACCCGCAGATCAGCCTCAACCCAGGGGCCACACACCTGTAACTATTGAGCTTTTAAAGGCAAGCAGCAAGGTGAGGGCTCACAGCCATACCACGCCAACGTGCAGCAGAGGGCGCTCACGGCCCCATCTGCGGGTCTGGTGCCAGCAGCTCAGGCACAGAGGCATGAACAGAGGCCAGGGTTTATGTGTTGGCATTCATGTTGTAAGTGCAGAGCCAGTGGGGTTTAGCTGGCAGCTTTGCTTTTTGCAATTACCTTCCATATTTATGCACAAAAGATATGACCAAGCCAGCTCAAGAGCAAAATGGATGCTCAGTAAATAATAACTTAGGATAAGGAGCACAGTAGTAAGGAAAAATAATTCCAGCCTTTGGGCTCCTGGCTTTCACTTATTTATGGTTATCTTTATAATAGGTATCAAATTCTGAACTGTGGTTGAGAAGAGACAAATCAAACATTTATTTCCATCCCCTACTAGATGCGTGAATAAAAGGAGTTAGAGCCAAATGTGGTAGATTGAAGACACAGATAAGCACTTGAAGCTGAGACTTAAATGCAAGGTTTCATTTCTACTCATTTCAGCAGGGCTTCTTCATTGTCTGGGTGGTGGCACTGTCTTGAGCCATCCCCTTCAGAAGACTCAGGGACATACTCTGCTCACTGTACCAGTCCCTGGAAGGACCCTTGAGTCCCTATGCAAGTGAAGAGTGCTCACAGGAGTGGACTGGCCTCTACTGGAGGGGTGCACACGGTCTCCACAGGGTTCCCTGGACTCCTGCAGGCAGAGTCCCAGGTTTCAACAGAACACAGAAAAGTTAAAAAACAAAAATACATACAAGTAGAAAAATGCTAAGGTCTTTTTGCTTTTGCATGTCTAAGCATTTTTTCCTTTTTTAATTTCAGAGAGAGAGAGAGAGAAAATGCAAGTAGGGGACAGGGGGGGGAGGGGGGAGAGGGGGTGGAGAGGGAGGGAGAGAGAATCTCAAGCAGTCTCCATGCTCAGCATGAAACAGGGCGCAGGGCTGAGCCCAGGACCCTGACCTGGATCCTGACCTGAGCTGAAATCTGCATTAAGATACTCAACCGACTGAGCTACCCAGGTGCCCCTTATTTTGCATTTCCAAATAGAAGGAGACTTTTTTCCTTACAGACTTGGGTACCTTCAGGTGTTCTGGAATGTCTTTTTCAATGGCTTAACAGTGTCTTGAAGTACCTGGTACATTTAGGAAAATGACCAACGTGTAAGTGTTCAAATATGTACGTGCTGGGAGGTGGCTATTTTTTCAGAACAGGGTTCAGTTCCAGCAGGTGCACTGCCATGGAAACAGACACTCTACATCTACCACTGGTTATGTTTTGAAGGAATTTAAAGTAATAGATGAAGGCGGCATTTATGAATGGAAAAAATGAGACAGCGGATCGAAAAAAAAAAAGCGGGGGAGAGAATGGAAATGGAAGTTCAAGTAAAGAAGCTAAATATGTAACTTCAATTCATATTACCTTCTCTTCCATCTCACTTCTGGCTCCAGGCAGATTCGGAGGACTCAGAGAACTTGGCGTATCACTGGGCTGGAACCAAAAAGAGAGCACTCAAGTCAAACGCCAGAACAGGAAGTTCTGGGCAGATAACCAGATGCGGGCTGTGCCTGGAAAAGGCCGCAGCTGGCTTTACAGAGCCAGCAGAAGTCACAGTGGGGACTTTGCTAATGTCCAGACAAGGACTCCTGAGGCACAGAATGTGTGCTTTCCTCCTTTCCTGAGTTCAACACATTTCCATGTGAGCAGTGTCTAACCTCAGTCCCTGATGTGCTTCCCCACGGCTGAGAGAGTCCAGGTGCCGCCCTCTAGCCACCCGACCTGGGAAGCGGGGCTGTGTCACACACCTGGCCTCCGACCTCAGAGCGGTGGGCTATGCTCACTGCCTTCCACCCCCTTTGTCTGCCGGACCTCTCACCTCTATGCCAGACCTCTTCCCTGTGAGAAAAAACAAAGGCCCTACCAATTCTGTGCACAAAAGACTGGGCTGAGAAGGTGGATGACCAGAGGCAAAAACGAAAAAAACAAGACAAAAAACCCCTCAGGACAGAAGAAGAAAAAGGCTGAAGATCCCCAGCCCAGTCACCTCGCCTGCCCTGGGAATGCCCACACTACATCACCTGCACCTTTCTGATGGCCCAATATACCTTCCACTTTGTGTGGCCAATATTTACACAGCTTCATCGTCCCTTCCAGAGCAATAATAGCTTGTCCTGCCTCAGCCCATTTTCTGCACCACACTTAGAAGCATCTTTGGAAAACAAAAATCAGATTATGTCACTGTCCTGCTTAAAATACTCAGAGGTTTCTAGTACTCTCAGAGTAGAATTATCCCTTTCCCGTGCTCTGTACATTCTGGCCTCCCTACCTCGCTCTATCTTCCCTTTGCCCCCCATCACGGTCCAGCCAACAACACTGACCTGCTTTCTCGTGGGACACCCTCAGTCCTATCCTGGGCCTCTGGACTTGCTCTTCCCTCCATCTAGAACACAGCTCCCATAGCCAGGTCTGTCATGGCTGCTCTGACCTCCTTACCTAAAGAGTGACCTCTCCCCCTCCACGTTACTCACTTTTCCACCACTCTGTTTTACTTCCTGTGAAGCATTTTTCTTGATCCAAAGTTATTATACTTATAACATTTACTAAATAAGTTATTATCTTTATACATATCTGTTGACTTGCCATCTGACTCTCATTAAAATGTGACTATGCAGGGGCACCTGGGTGGCTCAGTCGGTTAAGTGACTGATTTTGGCTCAGGTCATGATCTCACAGTTTGTGAGTTTGAGCCCCATGTTGGCCTCTGTGAGGACAGCTCAGAGCCTGGAGCCTGCTTTGGATTCTGTGTCTCCCTCTGTCTCTGCTCATACTTTGTCTCTCTCTCTCTCTAAAATAAAAAATTTAAAAAAAATGCAAACCATGCAGAGGCACCCCTAATCTATAGCTGGGGTAGCACTTGCCGAACGAATGGTCCTCCTCCTCCCTCAGGCCATGGTCTGTTGCATGTATTAGACTATCAGTAATAGTGAGGACATTTGCCTCAGTCCTTGGGCAATCCCTGCATTAAGGCTGACAGCCATTGCTGCCGCTCGCACTGAGAGATTGGAGAGAGTGGTTTTGGATCTCGCGGTCTCCACTTTACCCAGCACACCACCTGACACCTGCTTGTGTGGGAACCAGGAGTCATGAGGACCAGGCAGAGGTGGGCAACAGCGGGGGACCAGCCTGTTCTATCCTTCTTCACTTTGCTCTGTTAATCACTTCTCCTTCTTACTGCTCTATGACATATTAGCTGATAACAAGCATGACCTCTGGGGCCACGTCCATTTTAAAAACATCCAGGGTAAGTCCAGGCACCTTGGTAGGCAGAGCACAAAGAATGCTTTCTGCCAAGACTGGAAGACTCAGCAGAGAGCTCCCTGCTCCAGCTACTGGTGGGGCATTTCCTCCTTCCCCACCAGAGGCCTGAGGGGGGTCCCTTCTGCTGCTGGAAGGACTCTCATTCCAGGATATGTTCATGGTGTCTCTTTCCAAGTGTCAAAAGACCAAATTTAGATAAGACAATGCTGGACCAATATGACTTTCTTTCCTCATTAAGTAAACTTCAATGGCCAGTTTGATATGTCCTGTCTTGTTAAGAACCTATTTCTTTCTTGTTTTCCTTTAAATTAGTCCAATTTGACAAGTAATTATTCAGTGCTACTAAGTAAACACTAGCTATATCCTAGGGAGACAGAGATGTGTAAGATCCAGTTTGTCCTCAAGGAACTCAACATTTAGAGATGGAGAGAAAACAATTATGTGGACAGACACAGATGAGTATGAATGTGTGAGAGGCACTAAGGACACACAGCAAAGACACACAGGAGACAGCACAGCCTGGGGGTAAGGCCGGGTAAGGCTTCCCAGAAGAGGTGGGCCAACCTGAGTCTTGAAGAACAAGTGGAAGACACTGTGAAGAGCGCATGCAAAGGGCATGTCTTCTCTTCCTCTCCCTCCTCCAAGTGGCCCTCACTGCAGATCATGGCACCTGACCTGGAAGTGCCCTCCAGCCCTGGGCGACTCATCAGGAAAGCTTCTCTTGCATACTCCTTCCTTCCACTGCAGACCCAAGAGTTATCGGACGCCCCTGTTCACTGATTGACGTCCTCCCCACACGTATTAGCAAGAAGTCATTCCCAGGAGGAGCCTTACTTTGTTCTCCGTGTCTGACAGGATGATGTCCTCCTGAGTCACAATTTCCATGGGACTGGTCAGGAATAGATCCTCTTCTAAGGTAGCCTCACCACTGTCTGCCTTCTTCATGGGAATGGCATTGGGTGGTGGCTGCCCAAACTTGATGCTTTTGCTCAACTGTCGCTGGAGAAAAACAAAAGAAAGACGTTCTGAAGCAGTGAAGCAGTTCACAATAACCGCAACCAGAGGCCCCAGCATATCTAGTAGGCATTGAGGCATATTCTGTGCACAACGTTTCTAGACTAAATACCATGCCAGTAAGCCATGATGCAGTCCTGTAATAAGTGAATTTGTTTTCCAGTTTCTTTTCTTTTCCTTTCCCACCTTCAAGCCATGAGCTTTTTCATCCAGCCACCTCTTTCTTGGAGATATCAACATTATCCAGGGGTAGAGAGGCCATATTTCTGAACCAAAAGTTGGGATATATGTTATGACAAAAATTTTTTGATTAACCTATAAATTTCTTTAAAAAAGTCTCTTAAGAGTATAAAAATTGTATAGAATATAGTTACATGAAATGCAGGAACCAGTGGGGAAAATCAAGACTCTTGTGGTCAGTGTAATGAGGGAACCCTCCAGCCTCTCTTGGACACATTCCTGTTGAATATTTATGCTTCAGCCACCTTCCTCATCAGGCCTTCACTTGAACATCATGTTCTGGTCACAGTGGGCACCAGGGTGAAGAAGGCCCCAATGCTGGCAAGTCTTTCCATGATCAATGCCAAAGTCATGGGAGTCACAGGAACAGTCTGTCCTGCCACTAGGACTTCTTTTTGCCTTGCTGCAGCTATGCTCTGTGAACGACAGGGCAGAAAGTGCCCAGTGGGGAAAGAACAGAGAAGTAGCCAGAAGGAAAAGGGCCAAGGAAGGATTTGTTACTGGTGGCAGGTAGCTAGAAGTGTGTGTGTGTGTGTGTGTGTGTGTGTGTGTGTGTGTGTGTGTGTGTGTTTGGGGCAGGGGGTCGGGGGGGAACAGGTGATAGAAATGAGGACAACAAATAGTATTTAGAATTAAAGAAAAGCCAGATTAGAAAAGAAATATATTCCCTGAAGAAAAAAATGTATAATAGTTTAAGAAAGGGCAAAATATTTAATGGGCTGCAGCAGAAAACAATGAATGACATTCCAGAAGAAGAAAGGGCATGCCGTGGCCACCTGAGAGACTACTAGATTTAATATACTATAGAAACTCTTGCCTTGATCTATAGCAGGTTTCTGAACCTCAGCGTTACTGACATTGTAGGCCAGATGATTTTTTTGTGTGGGGAGCTCATCCTGTGCACTGTAAAATGTTTAGCAGCACGTTGGCCTCTGGGACACTAGATGCCAGTAGCAATCCCTTCCCTGTCAAGACATCCAAAAATGTATCCTGAAGTTGCCAAAGTCCCCTGGGGGTGGGTAAAATTGCCTCTGGATGAGAGCTACTGCTCTACATCTTAGGTACTTGGGCTTCATAGTCCTGTCATGCCTCAAAAAGGAAAAAAAGGACGAAAGAAAGAAAGAAAGAAAGAAAGAAAGAAAGAAAGAAAGAAAGAAAGAAAGAAAGAAAGGAAAAAATGCATTATTTGATATTTATCTTTAATTTGGCTAATATTTAATCCCATAGAGCTGCCAAGAGCAATAGCAATCACATAGTCCAGACCCCTCATTTTACAAAAAATGTCAGAGATCCAGTGGGGAGAGGTGACTGGCCCAAGCTTATGGAAAGAATGAGTGGCCCCAAAGGGATTTGAATCCAGGTCTCCTAAAACCATATTCAGTGTTATTTGCATTGCACTCCACAGGTTCTCACAAATTTGACATCAACACTTCTTTCTTATAGGGGCAGAAATAGAGAGATGATGCAGCATTCTTAATACCTTGCTGAAGTTCCCTGGCAGGGGAATCCCATGAGGGAAATGCCTGTTTCCCCTCTGAACTCAAGGGTACCAAATCCACCCACTCGTGCCCAGCTCCCCCTCAGCCTTGCATGGTGGACGGTGAGGTTGCAGAGACATGGAAGAAGTGAGCCCCAGACTCCCCTCCCCACACCCCCAGGGCACCCCGGCATGCCAAGTCAGGAGCACAGAAAGACAGAGGACTTGTATTTGATCTGCCGGTATTTCAGCCTGAGCCTGGATCCCCGGGCACCACAGAGAAGGAGCACACACCAAAAGCCCGAGTTCAGCCACTGAAGAACAGCTGAGCAGCCTAATAGGGTTTTGGGGAGGAGAAGGCTAAAAAAGGGTGTCTTCTCAAAACAAGTTTAGCAGGAAGCAGCAGTTAGTATCTACTCTCTAAGCAGATCAATAAGCAGGCACGGTTAGAGCAGCCGATGAAGTTAGACAAGAGGACACGGAGTAACAAAGTCACAGGCCCAGCTTACTCTGCTCATCTGTGGGTGAGGGATAGGGACCTGGTGATATGGTTCCTGCGTCCTAGTGAAAGCTTCAGCAGGAGTTCCCTCTGGGATTCCCAGCCCAGCCTTTGGTTTACCAGTTATCCCTTCTCTAGGAGTGCTGGCCAGGAGCTAGAAAGTGTTCTAAATCCCCTTAGACTGAGACTTCCTGTTGTCAGGGTCTGCCATCTCTCAATGCTCCTGAACGACTAAGATGAGGGTATTTCTTCCGGTTATAATAGAAAGAATAATTGTTTAATGAGCTCCCAAGGAAAACCTGGCATAACAGTCTAATGCCAGTTAGTTAGGATTTTTTTGCCACCATCACCAAAAAAGAATATGCTGATATTTTTCTTCAAAAGGGCACTTTAAAAAATACTGATGTTGGTCCACCCTGACGCTTATGAGACAAACAAACATATGACAAAATGTAACTGCAGTCTTGATGGAAATAAATTCCAAAGATGGGATGGCTATTGTGGTAACCAGTGGAAAAGCTAAGAGGAAATGGAAAAATGAAATAGATGGAAAGAGAACAGGAGAAATAGGGTACAGAGGACAAAGCTGGGAAATGGAGGGAATGATGTTGAGAAATGAAGTAGAGAATGAAATACAAGAGGCAAGAGGAAGGTGCAGGCACAGAGGAATCGCATCAGGAGAGGGGTGTGGGCCTGGCTGCAGACACAAGAGCTGAGAGTGGGGAGGAAGGGAGGGAAGAAAAGAGGGAGGGAGGCAATGAGAATGTGTGTGTGTATGAAAGGGATGATTTATGTCACAGATATGTTCATCCTGGCAAAAGAAACACAATGCTGTTGCCTTTGAGAATAACAATGTGCATTTCTGTGAAGCCGCTGATTTAAAATCCTCCTAGAAAAAATAAATTCAGACTGGTAGCTGGGAGCTTAGGGGGATGGAGAAGGGGAGGACCCAAGTCATCAAAGAAATGCTGGCTACATTTAGGGACGGGGCTGTAGCCTCTCTGCCCAGACAAAGGACTGTTTCACAGACACCCCTGTAGCTGTCAGGGATGAGACCATAGGACAAGACCAGGGTAGGACTTCGGGTCCGAGGCCATGGAGCTCGATCCTCAGGTTCTCAAGGCCAAGACTCCTGCACCTGCGTGTTTCCCTTCCCTGCAGTTCCTGCTCCAAATGCTTCCTTCAGGGGACTCAAAGGAGACAGGTGTCGAGACACTGTGTGATTTATTGACAATTAAAAGGTGACTGCTAAAACCTATTTGGCAATCTCAAGTGTCATGTGACTGGACTATAAGGATCACTGTGACTTTTTTGTGACTTTAACTCTGCCCACTATTCAGACATTGTCATGAGAGGAACTTTGATAGAAGCAGTCACTGAAAACCAGACTGTGCAGATGGAAGTTGCCCTTATAAACTACTACCACTCCCTCCACCTTTTTATAACACCCACGGGCTCTTTATATACACTACAATTACAACCAGAGAGAAGAGAACACTGTGCCTATCCTAACATCCATGCTGCTTGTGGCTGTGAATGGGGTTACTGTTAGGACTGGAATGTGAGCTGAAAGAGACTATATTTTATTCCTTCAAATTGAGCCATTTTGTTGTAATATGGAATGCCAAAGAATGATGTTATAGGAATGCACATCCATATTTATGAGGCTTTTTCCTATGGTGTGGAAATTCCAAGCACATCATATTCTGCAGCTCTCACACTGCCAGTATTTAGATTCCCCCAGATTTTTCACAGCTATCCTCAGACCGTGTCTGTGAGAATAAAGCAGAGGAAGAATTAAGTTGCTGTCTCCTTGAGTGAACTACAGATACACCCATAGTTAAAATGAATTTTTAAAAAGAGGCAAAAGACATCTGCTCTACGCAGAAGTGGCTAAGACCGGGTATTTATTCTTTGTGTCCTTGACAGCTGCATAAGGTGTCAAAATCCTCAAACATATGACACTTGGGCATTTTTTTTTTAAATTTTTTTTCAACGTTTATTTATTTTTGGGACAGAGAGAGACAGAGCATGAACGGGGGAGGGGCAGAGAGAGAGGGAGACACAGAATCGGAAACAGGCTCCAGGCTCTGAGCCATCAGCCCAGAGCCCGACGCGGGGCTCGAACTCACGGACCGCGAGATCGTGACCTGGCTGAAGTCGGACGCTTAACCGACTGCGCCACCCAGGCGCCCCTACTTGGGCATTTTTTAAGTGAAATCCAGCTTAGCAGGAGACAGCAGCTACTTAAAATGGAGGCTTTCCCTCCTGAGCTAAATAAATGGTCTGTGGCTTAACAGAATTATTGGCATTTTCTGACAAAGGTGTGGTATAATTCTAAAAATCACCTGCAGGCTTAGACTATGATGTTCCTGCCTAAGTTTTATCATTGGTTGTTACACTTCATAGCCTGGTCTGATCTGAAATAAACAGGCACCTCCCTGATCCATGCTCTGGGCAGCTGTAAAGAACAAGGTCATTGCAGTCCAAATGCAACGAAGTGTGAAGCTTACCAAACCACTCCATGCTATAGCAGGTAAGCAGTGATTTCGCATAGATGGCAGATTTTAAGAACTGGAGGAGCCAGATCATCCAGCATAGTCATCTCCTTATTTTTCAGATGGGGAAAATGAGGGTCAGAGAGGTTAAATGACTTCACTGCAGGCCACACAGCCAGGTGGTGGTGGAGGCTTAGCACAGGCTTTTTTTTTTTTCACCCACTAGCCATGGGACAACTGACAATTATGTGTAGGATCTTCAAAAAGGGCACCATTGTTGTTTTTGTCCCTATAACTGTCCTGTATATTAGAATTTGTTCTCCCTAGAAACATGTACTATTTTTATACTAAAAAAAAAAGTAATTTTTCTATTAAAGGTTCAATCATTTGTCACAGAAATTTTGGCAGGTGATAGATTCATTCAGAATAGATTTATTCAGAAAAGTGCAGGCTGATTTATGCTGCATTCAGTCCTGCTGTACTCAACAGAGAGATACAAACTGCCAAGAGCAACACCGGAGCAACAGCACCCTAGCTGGGATGACCACATGTGGACACTAGAGGGCAACCTTTCCAAACACAGTCAGTGTAGGCACGGTTCTGTGGGTTTCCAAGGGCCAGGAAGTTCCCTAGGCCAGAGAAAAATTTTTGTTTTTTGTTTTTCTAAATGGCATTCCAAGAGAAATATCATTTTAAAAGAATGTCTTAATAATGGTGGCTAATCAGCTTGCCAGGACATCTACTGTCAAATAGGTGTTATCCGTAACTTTTTTCTGTTTTTCATAAACATACATACATACACAAAGACAATTTCAGACATAAAAAACATACATGCCTCTGACATAACTAAACACCCTCATTCCATGCTGGAGTCTAAGAGGGGGAGGTCTTTTATGCTGCTGACTAAGCATCAATACCAGCATAACGTTGTCATGGAAAAATGCAAAGCATTCATGCAAGTTAATAAAGTCAACTACTATTTCTATGACTTACCAGGAACATACTGCTTAGTCGACTGAAAAATAAAGCACAGTCTTTTGGGGGTGATACAATTAAATCTTATGTTACTCCAAAAATCACATTTTCTATGATAATGGCCCCCCATTTCCCTCCTCAAAGAGCAAAGCGTCTTTTAAAAATATATATAACAATTGAGCTGTAGGGCAAACTGTGAATCTATACAGCAGAAGCAAAATTAGGCAGACCTCATATGAGCAGATATTGTCCAAAGGAGATCACTCCGATTAGTTATTCTGCTTTACTCACAGTTTTCTTCCTGTTGTGAAAAGAACTGTTGCTTCAGGGAAGTTGGTTGTTTTACATTTTAATTGTGAGATCCAATTATTTAAACTTGTGCCTTACAGTGTTAATAGTAATAAGAGGCACTCACACATTTTTTTATTGAGTTTCAGTAGTGCAGAATTGCATACATTTTATAACTCCAGATCCATTCCTGGAGTGGCAATGGCATGTGGTGTGATGTTAGAACAGACATCATTTAACACAACACACTATTATCAAATTTTTAAAGAACTCGCAAGCCCTTATAAAGTACACCTGTTTCATGGACTGAACGCTGTAAGTCACTCCTCTTGGAAAGGGGATATTATGAGCCAGGGGTTCAGAACTTCTTAAGAATAATATTCCAGGAATCAAAAGACTTCAAGAAGGAAAGGTGAGGGGGGGTAGCATCAAGGTTTTCTTTGGCAATTACTATCCCTTTCTCTTCTCCAACCTGTGCGAAGTGACAGCTTCCTTTTTCTTCTCAGGCTATAAAATATGCAGCAGCATAGCCAGCAAGAACTAAAGACGGAAACTGGTTAGGAAAGGCTAGAATCTGAAGGAAGCGCCTAGGTTAGCTCTGAGGGCAAGATGATGGCCTTGGGCAGTGGTTGGCAGTAGGTATAAAGATCTAGGCAAGTCTGGGTGTGGTTCTAGGGTGTGGACTATTTCCCCGTCTGCCATATGCTATACTCAGCTGAGTGTGTGTGGATATGTAACCAAACACAGGTCACAAAATGCATAGCTAATGTTCAGTAGAAACAAAAACATTTCAAGAAAATAGAAAATTTCCTTTGAGTATAATGCTTCATTGTATCGGCAGCTCTTCAAATCAGCTGTTCCTTTTTTTTTTTTTCTCTTTCATTCATTTATACATTTGTTATTGTAGACTTACAGACAGATGGAAACCAGCAAACCCGGAGTCCCCCGTTCATAATCTGGATCACCTCCAGGCCTTCCCATCTCAAAGAAGTGCTTGCTTAGGCGCATCTGTCGGGGGAGTGAATGCTACCAAGCTATCAGGCAAACCTGCATGGTCAGATCCCGGGTGTCTTTGCTCCCCTTGCTTTTTCTGGATTTCTCATGATCTCAATCACATTTAGTGAAAAATTATTTTATTATTTTTTCATTATTAAGGAGTTGCCACCTGAGTCCATTTTGTGTAGAAAAAGTTGCTGGGCTCTGCAGTGTGAACAGGAGGGAGGTTTAAGAGCTTCCTGGCATTCTTCTAAGATACAGTAGCTCAGGGGGAGCCAGATTTACAGATAGAGCAAATAACAGAGTCTCACCATTCACTGTCCAAGGATGCATACCTGCTGTGCATGCCCTCAGCTCACAGTCAACCCTGTGCTCAGGATTATGGCCAATATTTAATGGTTGCTTTTCCAACTCTCCCCTCCCTCCATGTCCTACAGCTGATCTTGGGTACCTGTCCTCATGATATGAACTTAAAAGTGAAGGAACAGCTTGAGAGAAAAGGAGAGGGGATGTTATGCAGGTGGGTACAATGGTGACAATCTCACAGGTGGATGGAAGGTTTCCTGAGAACAGAATCAGGTCTGAGAAAGCAAAAATTCTCACCAGAAGCTCCTCTGGATCTCCCGATCCATTATTCAAGGCCACTCTGGGGATTCTCCCACTTCCCACCATAGCTGGGGCCCCTCCTATGGCTCTGACTTTCCAATCTCAAGCTGTCTTACCTGAAGAGTTTTGACTTTGCCCAGGATGTTGTCCTGTGACATTGCTTGAACTGTCTGCTCACTTTCTGCTCCCCCATCAGGGATAAAAATACTGTCATGGGAAAAGGCCCGGGTTCCCATAGAATAGTTGAAGGACCTGGAATGCAAACCATGTGCTTCGTTTTATTAGGATGATAATATTTCTTTTGGCAATTCAATTTCCTGTTCCTCCTCATTTAGAGGACTCCACCCACAACATGTCTTATTCAGAAAGCACTTCCAGCATTGTGTCCTGTTCTGCTAAGGGTCAGCCAAGTAGCTTGGGTAGGCGAAAGGGTCTCACAGAAATAAGGGAGCATGTGTCCAACACAATATTTTAGAGCCACTCAGTGAGAGAACTCAAAGACAGCTATCTACTTGCAGAGGACCCAGGACATAAGGCACTGCAGGAATTTTAACTGGAGGAGCCTATGTCCTGGTGAGCTGTCACTGTCAGTTTTCCCCCAGTAAGTCCTATCAACCAGCACTTTTTAAGTAACGTGCAGATCTAGAAGTTAGAGGCAAGAGATTCCTTTTTTTGGATTACAATCACACTGTTAGAAAGATACATACATCTAAAACTAAGACTTGACAAAGATTAGAACTGCTCGTAGGGACTGCACGTATAATCTCTAGGGCTAGAATCTTTATGAGAAAGGTGTCTTAGGGCAATTTTGATGAGCTTCATGGACTGTGAGCAGCTTATAAGTGGTAGGTATCCAACGACAAATGCTTTTCAGTTAAAGGGTTACACTTTGACAAGTCCAGACTTCCCAGGCAGAATCACACACTCTCTGTAAGGCAAGGCAGGTACATTTCCATGATTCCAGGCCCATGGGCAGACTCCCCCTTTCCCTCCTCAGGAAGGGGTCCCACCTGGAGGTGTTATCAGTGACCAAGTGCCAGCACTGGGGGAAAGGCGCCTCCAGCTGGTGCTCTTAAACTGAATTACAGAAATGGAGCAGGCAGGGTCCTGACCAAATCTAGACTGAACTGGGAAGACTGGGTACCAAATCGTATCTTCTAATTTGCCAGATTACAGGCAGCATGGTAAAAAAGCATATGAGGTTTAGAAACAGAAGACTTGGGTGTAAGCCTCCTGGCTGTGTGATCTTTGTCATGAATAAGAACAAGAACAAGAATAAGAATAAAGAATAAGAATAAAAATAACAGCCAAGATCAACCCTCACCTTTGTGAAAAACTGTGCCAAGAGCTTTGCTTTCATTATTTCAACACCAATCCCTTGTTACAGATGAAACTCAGGGGGTAAATCATCTTATCTAAAGTCATCCAAACAGAAGTAGTAGAGGAAATGAATTCAGAGCTACTGAGTACAGTCCTTCACCAGCCAGCTAAGTGTCTTAAAGCAGTGGAAGGTCTCAGCATCTTCCCTCCCATGAGTGAAATGGGGTGTGGGTGGGCCAGTGGGAGAGGAAGACAGGATGCAAATGACACGTGGGCTGGAATAGGGGAGGATTAGAGATGCTAAACAGCCAGAAGAATCGGTAAGCTTTCAGCCAAATAACAACACATACTGTAAAGCAGGAATCCACTCTATAAAATATGAGGCACTGTTTAGGATATGAATATGGAAAGAATTAAATAGATCATTATTTCCCTGTCTTCAGAGACTCTGTGACCTGTGTTACAAAATGAACATCCAGGTTTACCTAAAGAAGCTACGAAATAAACTTTTCATTTAAAGAATCAAATCTTTTAATATTCTATCTAAATGTCTCTCTCAGATCCCTGGCTATGACCCAGGTGGGAGAAGAGGTAAGTGACTTCATTTCTACTTAGTGTATTTGCAGATGGCTTATATTTATATATGCATGCTTTCAGACACTCTTACAAAACATCTATACACAAGTCCATTTTAGAAGCTTCATAAATGTTTACTAATGACCAACAGTTGTGTGGCCAACATTACCTTGGTGTTAGGCCAAGTCCCATTCCAGTTTCTAAGTCAACCCTGACTGAATCATGAACTTCATCTCCTCGATCCCATTGTTTTTCCAAGTAGGCCGAGCAGTGACACTCTCCTACTTTTCTGTGTTGCCCCAAATGTTCCTTGTTGCCAACCATGCTTTAATATCCACCCATTCCCCACTTCCAGATAATCATACTGAAAAATGGAAAATGAACAGTAACAACAGCAGTAGTAGTAATTACAGAAAGAGAGGTAGTCACAATGGTAATATTAATACTGGCTACATTTTATCAAGCCCTTCTTGCTATGTCCCTTGCATGTGTGCTAACCTCTTTAGTAGAACATCTAAGTCCTTTTTTTAATTAATTTATTTATTTTGAGAGAGAGAGAGAGAGAGAGAGAGAGAGAGAGAGAATTCCAAGCAGGCTCTGCACTGTTAGCACAGAGCCTGACGCGGGGCTCAAACTCACGAACCATGAGATCATGACCTGAGCCAAAATCAAGAGTCGGACACTTAACCTACTGAGCCACTCAGGCACCCCTAAGTCCTTTTATTATGTAATATTTAAGCCTTATGTGGTGGGCACTATTATTAAGCCTATTTACAGATGAGGAAACTAAGGCTTGAAGATAGGGAGTGATTTGCTATAAATTAAGTGACTATGTATATCTGGATCTGTTTCTGGCCTCGTTTCCCTTGGTCTACTTATCTATTTTTATAGCAATAATCCCTCACTGTCTTAATTACTATAGCTTTTTAATGAGTCTTGGAATCTAGTAGTTTAAGTTCTCTAGTTTTTTTTTTTTTTCTCAAGATGGCTATTCTTATCTCTGCATTTCTACACAAATTTACACACACACACACAGAGTCCAACACACTCCTGGAATTACTTTCATGACATCATTAGATCTACGGATAAATTTTGGGATAACTAACGTCTTTACAATATTTGATCTTTTAATCCCTGAACATCAGATACCCCTTTGTTTAGATACCTCTTACTTTCTCTCAATAATGTTTTGTAGTTTTGTGTGTAGAAATCTTATACATATTGATAGATTTATTCCTACATATTTGATGTTTCTGAATTGACTAGAAATGGTGTATATAGGTTAACATTTTTATTTTCTAATGGTTTACTGGTATAATATTAAAATATAATTAGTCTTTGTATATTGTTCTTAAAGCTAAATTAATTAATTATAATAATATGTTCTTAGCTAAATTTATTAATTATAATAATATCACTTGATTCTTTTGGGTTTTCTATGAATACAAGCAGGTTGCCTGTGACAAAAGGCAGTTTTATTTCATTATTACTTTTTAAAGTTTATTTATTTATTTTGAAGGAGTGAGCATGTGCGTGTGACCAGGGTAGAGTCAGAAAACCAGGGAGAGAGAGAATCCCAAACAGGCCCCACACTCAGCACAGAGCCCAACATGGGGCTCCATCCCATGACTATGAGACTATGACCCATGCAGAAACCAAGACTCAGATGCCCAACTGACTGAGCCACCCAGGTGGAAGGATTTTAAATCCATCCTTCTTTTTTTCCTTCCTTCTTTCTTTCCTTCCCTCTCTCCCTACCCCCCCCCCTTCCTTCCTCCCTGCCTTTCTTTTTTTTTTTTTTGTCACAGTGAATTAGCTAGAACTTCACACAAAGTTGAACAGAAATCGTGATGGTGGACTTTGACATGTTCTCAAACTAAGCAAAAACGTATTCAATATTTTACCATTAAGTTATGCTGTTACCTATAAAATTTTTGTAGGTTATATTACTGCTTCTTTGAAAAGACAGGCAGTCTATCATCTTTTTTATTTTAAATTTATTTACATTCAAGTTAGTTAATATACAGTATAGTATTGGTTTCAGGAGTAGAACCCAGTGATTCATCACTTACATATAATACCCAGTGCTCATCTCAACAAGTGCCCTCCTTAATTCCCATCACGCATTTAACCCATCCCCCCCACCTACGTCTCCTCTAGAAACCCCAGTTTGTTCTCTGTATTTAAGAGTCTCTTATGGTTTGCTTCCCTCTCTGTTTTTATCTTATTTTTACTTCCCTTCCCCTATGTTTATCTATTGTGTTTTGTTAATTCAACATATGAGTGAAATCATATGCTATTTGTCTTACTCTGCCTGACTTATTTCACTTAGTATAATACACTCTAGTTTCATTCACATTGTTGCAAATGGCAAGATTTCATTCTTTTTGATCGCTGAGTATCATTCCACTGTATATATATACCACATCATCTTTATCCATTCATCAGTCAATGGACATTTGGGCTCTTTCATAATTTGGCAATTGTTGATAATGTTGCTATAGACATTGGGGTGCATGTGCCCTTTGAAATCAGCATTTTTGTATCATTTGTATAAAAACCTAGTGGTGCAACTGCTGGGTTGTAAGGTAGTTGAAGACAGTAAGGTGCTGGCACAAAAACAGACACATGGATCAATGGAACAGAACAGAGAACCCAGAAATGGGCCCACAAATGTATGGCCAACTAATCTTCAACAAAGCAGGAAAGAGTATCCAATGGAAAAAAGTCTCTTTAGCAAATGGTGCTGAGAAAACTGGACAGCGACATGCAGAAGAATGAAGCTGGACCACTTTCTCACACCATACAAAAAATAAATTCAAAATGGATGAAAGACCTGAATGTGAAACAGGAAACCATCAAAATCCTAGAGGAGAAAACAGGCAACAACCTCTTTGGCCTCAGCTGCAGCAGCTTCTTACTAGACAGGTCTCTGGATGCAAGGGAAACAAAAGCAAAAATGAACTATTGGGACCTCGTCAAGATAAAAAGCTTCTGCACTGCAAGGCAATGGATGGAATGGGAGAAGATATTTACAAATGACATATCAGATAAAGGGTTAGTATCCAAAATCTATAAAGAACTTATCAAACTCAACACCCCAAAAACCAAATAATCCAGTGAAGAAATGGGCAGAAGACATGAATAGACACTTGTCCAAAGAAGACATCCAGATGGCTTACAGACACACGAAAAGATGTTCAACATCACTCATCATCAGAGAAAGACAAATCAAAGCCACAAAGAGATGCCACTTATCAGAATGGCTAAAACTGACAACTCAGGCAACAACAGATGTTGGCGAGGATGTGGAGAGAGGGAGGGAACACTTTTGCCCTGTTGATGGGAATGCAAAC